CCAGTGAGGGATGGACACAGGAGGGGTGGACGGTGTCCAGTGAGGGATGGACACAGGAGGGGTGGGCGGTGCCCAGTGAGGGATGGACACAGGAGAGGTGGATGGTGTCCAGTGAGGGATGGACACAGGAGGGGTGGATGGTGTCCAGTGAGGGATGGACACAGTATAGGGCTGTGTGAAAGTGGTCCTGATAACATTTTGGGGTTCACCCTATGGACAGCGAGAGGCCTGCTGGTCCATAACTAGTAAGGCTAGGAGATAAAGAAAGAGGAGACGTTGTTGAAAAGGAATGTGCTCTTTACCTGACCTGTGTAACTGTAACCCCTCTGTTTTTAGCATTTCAGATAAGAGGTCGTTGTCTGGGATGAAGCAGGGCAGGGTCCTGGCCGGTGGTGGCAGGGGCTGGGGAGGAGGCTTGGGCATCTCTGCTGAGGGCCGGAGAACAGAAGCTGCAGGTGCAGTGGGGTTGGAGCACTCGTGTCTCCACCGGCCGTGGCTGGGGTCTGCTGAAACGGAGGGTGAGAACACACACTAGGGCTGAAGCAGGGTGGTGACCAGGGTGTGGCTGGCGGGGGTCTGCGCTGGGGGAGACTGGCTGTCCCCGGAGCCTCTCCACGAGCCCCCGTGCTGTGCCGAGGTTTGAAGTAGCCCTGCCCTTTCCCCTTCAGCTCTTCCCCTTCTCGGGTTCCTTCTCCTCAGTGAAGAGACTGCATCACCATCTCTACCTCCGTGGCTCCTACTACTACCTCTCTCCTGCCAGGAAGGTCATGGCTTCTAATTTCCCCTCCCTCCCAGCAGCCAGTGCCTTGGGAGCCGCCTCTGTTGGTGCCTCCTTGGGCTACTTCAGCCCTTGCCCTGCATGGTCCTCTCCAGTCCTGGCCTCAGAATGGAAATCTCACCCTGTGTTGGTGACACGCTGGTGGCTCCATGTCTGTGGAGGACAGACCAGCCTTGGGTAAGCAGAGACCCTGGTCACCTCCAGGCTCCACTTGCATGAGGACTGACTCACAAGTGCTCCTTGCCCCTAGGAGCGCAGTGGCTGGCCAGTGCCTAGTCTTATCAGCTGTCAGGCCTCACTGTGGACAAGCACTGGGCCCGTGTTTGGTGCCAAAGCCAGGCTGTGAGTTCTGGTCCTGGTCTCTGGGGGCCGGGCAATTCACACCCAGGGCTAGCTTTCATATGCTTCACCAATGAAGCAGTGCATCGGATGCCAGTTCCGCCAGTGCTGAGCAGCTCACAGGAGTTTGGTTTAGAAGTATCTCTCTTCTGGAAGCGTGATGCATTTCTGCTTTCAGGCCTGTCTCCCGGCACATCTGCTCCGTCTCATTCAGTGCGCAGTGCGGGTGGAGATGGGTCTCACAGCTGCCAAGTCTGTGCGGCCTTCACGCCTGAGCTGCCCGCGTCCTCGCCAGGCATCTCCCTCAGGACAAACAGCACACAGACAGACCCCATACTAACCTCGGACCACGGGGCACCAGCCTCCCAGGACTTGGAGGACCAGGACTTGTGCCTCCATTGGTATCTGCACCCCTGTATCTTCACTCAGTGAGGCCTCTGCTCCGGGCTGGGCTTGTGCACTTGGAGTCAGCTCTCTGTCATCATGGAGTCGGTTCCGCATAGCTAAACCCAATACCCAGGCATCGAGGAGGCCTTGGTACCTCTTGTATCCTGTGACAGTCCCGATGGCAAAGCGCAAGACTCCCAAGTGTCCACTGCGCAGGTGGACATGCTAGACATTGTCAGCAAGGTAGCTCTGGGTCTGCATGCAGCTGCCACTGCAGGCTGGGGTGACGTGGGTCCTCATGATGCCAGGGGCCGGCACACATCACTGTGCATGCCGGAGCCTGGCTTGCTGGTGTGGGCAGGGAGCTGGGGTAATGGTGCAGGCAGGCTAGGCCTCGTAGTTCGTGGAGAAACAGAGGAAGCAGGCAAGATGAAAGCATGAACTCTTTCTCTGGTCAACCGCTTGAGTCAGGTTTACGGTCAGCTTGGACACCAGTGGCTTAGGCCTTGGCTGGGCTCAGGGTCTTCTGCAGACACCACCTAGTAGTGGTGCTGGAAATGTTTGCCTGAAGGGCAGCCAGAGGTATCTAGAGGTGTCCAGGGCTCTGCGTTTTGTGATCTGGCCATGGAAAGCAGGGGAGGGCCTAAAGGCCGAGGACTGAAGAGGGCTGGAGGGGGCTCCCGGTGGGGGCCTGGAGGGGGGCTCCTGGTGGGGGACTGGAGGGGGACTGGAGGGGGCTCCCGCTGGGGGACTGGACGAGGCTCTGGTGGGGGACTGGAGGGGGCTCCTGGTGGGGGACTGGGGGCTCCCGGTGGGGGACTGGACGGGGCTCCCAGTGGGGGCCTGGAGGGGGCTCCCAGAGGGGGACTGGACGGGGCTCTGGTGGGGGACTGGACGGGGCTCCCGGTGGGGGACTGGAGGGGGGCTCCCGGTGGGGGACTGGAGGGGGCTCCCAGTGGGGGCCTGGACTGTGGCTGGTGCTGGGCTCCAGGCCTCAGTGGCTCGTGGACTCCAGTACTCTGGGGCTGACATGGACATGTCAGTCTCAGGTGGCTGCGAATCTTCTTGGTCATTCTCAGTCCTCTCTCCCCTGCCCTTCCCCTTCCTGAGCAATCCTGCCCTTGCCCGTACCATCTGGATGGCTGGCCCTCAGGGGGGAGGGCCACACGGCAGAGATACGAGGGCTGGGTGTGAGGATCTGCGTGCTCATGGGTGTGCTGTGAGGGTCAGGGGGTCTCTGGTTCTGGTGTCCTCGTCTGCACCCTGGGGTGTCAGTATTTGCCCTGCTCCCTATGGAGGGAAGGAGCTGCCAATATGAGCATTAACTGTAGCCAGTTGGGAAGAGCTGACGGGTTAGCACTGGGGTGTCAGGGAGAGCTTGAGAGCCTGGGCCACGTCCACACTTCCGGGGGAGGTGAGTGCCTGGCGGCCGGGACTCAGGGGCCAGGGGAGGGCGTGCTGATCCCCCTGGCAGCCCAGGGCTGCCAGCCCCGCCGAGGAGGAGGCCCCAGCAGCTGGGCTGCCCTCTGCAGGGCCCGGTGCAAAGCCTGCTTAAACTCCTGGTTCCTCAGACAGTAGATGACTGGGTTCAGAAGGGGTGTGAGCACGGTGTACACCACGGACACCAGCTTGTTATAGTTGAAGGAGTAGATGGCCCGTGGCCGGGCATAAATGAAGAGGGAGGCTGAGTAGAAAATCACCACCACGGCCAGGTGTGAGGCGCAGGTGGAGAAGGCCTTCTGCCGGCCGTCGGCGGAAGGGATGCGCAGCACGGTGCTGAGGATGGCCGTGTAGGAGAAGATGGTGAGGAGCAGGGGCCCCAGCAGGATGAGCAGCGCCAGGAGGAAGTCCACCAGCTCTGCCACCGACATGTCGGAGCAGGCCAGGTTCAGCAGTGGGGACACGTCACAGAAGAAGTGGTTCATGACGTTGGGGCCGCAGTACCCCAGGCGGGAGATGAAGAAGACCTTCCCCAGGGAGATGGTGAAACCGGAGAGCCAGGAGCCCGCCGCCAGGAGGCTGCAGAGGCCGGGGCTCATGACGGCCGGGTAGCGCAGGGGGTTGCAGATGGCCACGTAGCGGTCATAGGCCATGACCCCCAGGAGCGAGCACTCGGTGCAGGCCAGCGCCAGGAAGAAGTACAGCTGTGCCATGCAGCCTGGGAAGGAGATGCGGCAGAACCGGGGCGCGGCCAGGCCCAGCAGCACCTTGGGCACCGTGACGGAGATGTACCACACCTCCAGGAAGGACAGGTTGCCGAGGAAGAGGTACATGGGCTTGTGCAAGGAGGGGCTGGAGCGGATCACCGTGACCACGATGAGGTTTTCGGTGATGGTCAGCAGGTAGGCCAGCAGGAACAGCACCAGCAGGGACAGGTGGAGCCCCAGGGAGCCTGGGAAGCCCACCAGGATGAACTCTGTCACCTCTGAGTGGTTGCCCTGAGCAGGCATGGTGCCCAAGCCCTGCCTGGGGACAGAGGAAGGTCAGGGTGAGGCAGGAGGGAAGGCCAGGGCTGCCGGGGACAAGCCCCACTTGGGAGCCTCGTGACCCCAGGCTGACGTGACTGGTTGTGGCATCTAGGCCTGCAGGTTGTCAGAATCACACCAGTGCTGTGTGTCCCAGAGGGGACACCCTGGCTTGCAAACAGCACTTGGGATGTCTGTGCTGGTCTCTCCTCGCAGTCTGGCCCTTGCTGGGCTCGGCTGTCCACATGGCCCACAGAACAGGTGGACAGGATGGACAGGAACTTGGCCCTGCCTCCCGGCTGCCCCTTGCAGACCCTTGCAGAGGAGGGGCTGCCTTGCCACGGCCTTTCCTCTCCCTGCCGGCCTGAGCGCTGTAAGCACAGAGCGCCCAGGCCTTGGCCTCTGGAAATGTGCAGACCCAGCAGAGACCTAGTCATTCGGAAGGCAGCGCTTTGCCTGCTTTACTGTGCAACCTCAGTCTACTTTCACAGTCTTTCTTCTTGCTTTTTGCTGGTCCTGGGCCTTGAGCTCAGGGCCGAGGCCCTGTCCCTGAGCCTCTCTGTGCTCCAGGCTAGCGCTCTACCACTTGAGCCACAGCTTCACCTACGGCTTCATCTGTGTATGTGCTACTGAGGAATCAAACCCAGGGCTTCGTGAGTGCTAGGCAGGCACTCTACCACGGAGCCACCTTCCCAGTCTTTCTAAATAAAACCCAGCCATTTTGCTAAGCATGCTGAGTACTTTTGTGAAGAATGTATTTGGGGCAAGGTGGCTGAGGATGACCTTCCAGACTTGTTCTCCACTATTACCTTGTGTCCTATGAACCTCAGCCGAGGTGAACGGTGAACAGTACAGACTGCTGTGCTGAGGAGGGCCAGTGTCTGCTGTGTGAACACAGTGTCTGTTCTGTGTGGTCAGTGTGTGTCTGCTGTGTGTACACAGTGTGTCTGCTGTGTATGGACAGTGTGTGTCTGCTGTGTGTGGGCAGTGTGTGTTCGCTGTGTGTACACAGTGTGTGTCTGTTCTGTGTGGACAGTGTGTGTTCGCTGTGTGTACACAGTGTGTGTCTGTTCTGTGTGGACAGTGTGTGTCTGCTGTGTGTGGACAGTGTGTGTCCGTCTGCTGGGTGTGGACAGTATGTGTGTTTGCTGTGTGTGGATAGTGTGTGTCTAATATGTGTAGACAGTGTGTGTCTGCTGTGTGTGGACAGTGTGTGTCTGCTGTGTGTACACAGTGTGTGTCTGCTGTGTGTGGTCAGTGTGTCTAATATGTGTACACAGTGTGTGTCTGCTGTGTGTGGACAGTGTGTGTCTGCTGTGTGTGGACAGTGTGTGTCCATCTGCTGTGTGTGGTCAGTGTGTGTCTGCTGTGTGTGGACAGTGTGTGTCTGCTGTGTGTGGACAGTGTGTGTCTGCTGTGTGTGGTCAGTGTGTGTCTGCTGTGTGTGGACAGTGTGTGTCTGCTGTGTGTGGACAGTGTGTGTCCATCTGCTGTGTGTGGACAGTGTGTGTCTGCTGTGTGTGGGCAGTGTGTGTCTGCTGTGTGTGGACAGTGTGTGTCTGCTGTGTGTGGACAGTGTGTGTGTGTCCATCTGCTGTGTGTGGACAGTGTGTCTGCTGTGTGTGGACAGTGTGTGTCTGCTGTGTGTGGGCAGTGTGTGTCTGCTGTGTGTGGACAGTGTGTGTCTGTCTGCTGTGTGTGGACAGTGTGTGTCTGCTGTGTGGGCAGTGTGTGTCCGTCTGCTTTGTGTGGGCAGTGTGTCTGTCTGCTGTGTGGGGACATGAAGGAGCTAAGGAGGGCATTGCTGGCTGGGAGCTGAGCCGATCCTCACCCCGGAGCTGAGCCTGGAGCCAAGGGGCTGTTGGGGTGGGGAGAACCTGCTTGCTTTGGCTGTGGGGGACGTGGACTGGGCAGTAGCAGATGCTCGGAGCTGCGCTGTCCTCTGCCCATTGAGAAGGGCGTTGGACGGGGGTCCTCTCAGGGTGGGCTCCGCAGGGTGGCTCCTGCCCTGCTCCCACCAGCTTCCCCCGGGCCCTCCCTGGGGCTCCCAGAAGCCTCCACAGCCGCGGCCCTTCGCGCCCCTCAGCCCAGCCCCCATAAACCGCCAAAGCCTCCGTGAGTGGCCGAGAGCTCTGTTTTCTCTCCGAAGACCACAGGGCAGCAGAGCTCAGGGCAGGGGCTCAGCCAGGGCTGCACCCGAACTCTGACCTTCCCTTAGTCTGGGACCTGGGCAGATATCCTCTCTGCACTTCAGACTCCTCTCCAAGAACATGGCCTTGGACTAGAGGGCCAGGCAACAGCAGACACTGTCCTCACAGAAGGATACTGACCACACACAGCAGACACACACACTGTCCACACACAGCAGATGGACACACACTGCCCACACACAGCAGACGGACACACACTGTCCACACACAGCAGACGGACACACACTGTCCACACACAGCAGACGGACACACACTGTCCACACACAGCAGACACACTGTCCACACACAGCAGATGGACACACACTGTCCACACACAGCAGACGGACACACACTGTCCACACACAGCAGACGGACACACACTGTCCACACACAGCAGATGGACACACTGTCCACACACAGCAGACACACACTGTCCACACACAGCAGACACACACTGTTCACACACAGCAGACGGACACACTCTGCCCCCACACAGCAGACGGACACACACTGTCCACACACAGCAGACGGACACACTATTCACACACAGCAGACACACACTGTCCACACACAGCAGACGGACACACTTTTCACACACAGTAGACACACACACACACTGTCCACACATCTCAGACACACAGTAGACACACACACTGTCCATATATAGCAGACACACACTGTTCACACACAGCAGACACACACACACACTGTCTACACATAGCAGACACACAGTAGACACATACACACACTGTCCACACACAGCAGACACACACACATTGTCCACACACAGCAGACACACAGTAGACACACACACACTGTTCAGACACAGCAGACACACACTGTCCACACACAGCAGACACACACACACTGTTCACACACAGCAGACACACACTGTTCACACACAGCAGACACACACACTGTTCACACACAGCAGACACACACTGTCCACACACAGCAGACACACACACACTGTCCACACACAGCAGACACACACACACTGTTCACACACAGCAGATACACACACACTGTTCACACACAGCAGACACACACACACTGTTCACACACAGCAGACACACACTGTCCACACACAGCAGACACACACACACTGTTCACACACAGCAGACACACACTGTTCACACACAGCAGACACACACACTGTTCACACACAGCAGACACACACACTGTTCACACACGCACACACACTGTTCACACACAGCAGACACACACACTGTTCACACACGCACACACACTGTTCACACACACCAGCCCCACACAGCTGTCCCCACCTGTGAGACATACACTGTCTCCACGCTAGCTGTTACAGGATGGAGGAGATGGGCTCTGAGGACAGGGAGGCCCAACGTTGGCTTCAGGGTTCTCCTGATGAACAGGAGGGATCCAGGGGCTCTGCAGTTGCTTGTCCTGAGCTTGCCCAACATTTGGGTTCAGTCGGTATCCCAGACCATCAGAGTGGAAAGGGCCTGAGGAGATGTGCGGCCCGTCTGACCTGGTGTAATGGGGCCCCTTGCTGCACCTGATCTCCAGCATTGCTAGCTGCTAGTGTCTGCTAGGAGATGGCTACAGAAATCGAGTCCTGGCCCCTGTCCTGACAGGCCCCGTGAGTCACAACAAGAACCACTGTCCACTGGCTTGGGCTGGGAGACACACTGCAGAATCGCAGATCTACTTCCAAATGGACACAGGGCTCCTATTTTCCAGGCTTTCCCAAGGACTCAGTGCTGCTCTGGACACAGGGCTCCTATTTTCCAGGCTTTCCCAAGGACTCAATGCTACTCTGGACACAGTACTCCTATTTGTCAGGCTTTCCCAAGGACTCGGACACAGATTTGCAGATGGTTTCTTACCTGGAGGAATGTGGAGACCAGGCCCAGACAGGGCTGACTGACTGAGGGCAGAGCCCAGGCTTTGGGGCCCTCTTACTCTGCTTGCTCCTGGAGCCCAGGGCTTAGACAGTGTGCAGTTTGTTCTCGGATAGGACCGGTGACCCTCCAGGTGTTCCAACAGGGTCAGAACTTGGAGGATGCAAATGCAGATGATCTGTTACCTAGGTGACCCTCTCCCCAGTAAAAGACCCTTTCACATCAGAGACAAGAACCAATGCCAGAGACAGAGCAGGGGTCTCCTTCAGTATTGCTTCTTGACCTGGGTTGGAGGGTGGGCACTGGGCAGGGCAGATCCCCGCACTGTGTTCCCTCTGGTGGGGAGCCCATGCGCCCTCCTGCCGGGCCAGCATGTGCCCCACACAGGCGGGGCACAGAGCTCAGGGGGACTTTTGTGCAGATGGGAGGCTCCTGGGCGGGGCGGGCGCTGGCTGAGGAAGCCGAGGCCCCTCCCGGCCCTGTCCTCAGCTGGCTCTCAGCAGCGCCCTCTCCTCACACCCTCTGCACACTCCCCAGTGACGGGGGCACGCGGGCACCTGCGGCCGGCCTGCGAGGGGGGGGGGCAGCGAGGACGGACGCACTGTGACTGTGACGCACTCTGACTGTGACGCACTCTGACTGTGACGCACTCTGACTGTGACGTGGGGTGTGGAGGGAACCCCTCCGCCTCAGCAAGGCCAGAGGGCGAGTCATCTGAGGGTCCAGGCCCTCTGCCCCTCCCCATCCACCGGCATGATCAGCCCAGTCTTGCTACCACCTCCTTCCCAGGGCACGTGGCCGCCTGAACACCAGAGCCCGTCCCCCCTCGCTGGCTGTGCAGCTGTGTCAGGTGCCCTTCCGTGCGCCACAGCGGTCCCAGGGATGGGAAGTGAGGTGGACACAGGGGGGGTGGCAG